TGAAACTAGGGAGGCTTTATTTAGCATTCAAATACTAGTTAAACGATGCAAAGATATCAACCAAAAGATTTATTTGTGCTTCATCGATTTCGAGAAAGCTTTTGACATGGTAAGACATGAATGACTGTTTGAAGTTTTGCGAAAAAATGGTATAGATGGAAAAGATCTAATTCATAACGAATTTGTATTGGCATCAGCAAGCTAATATTAGAATAAATGACTTCTAATGACTTTAAAATTCGAAATGGAGTTCGACAAGGGTGTATCCTTTCACCATTGCTTTTCAATATATATTCGGAAGAAATAATGCCGGTGACCTTGAAAGAGGCAGAGGAGGGCATTGTTTTAAACGGTAAAATTATAAACAACTCGAGATATGCAGATGATACCGTGTTGATAGCTGGCAGCATCGAAGACCTACAAAAGATATTGGACAGAGTAGTAACAGTCAGTGAAAATTTAGACGTACATTTAAATTCCCAAAACACCATAATATGACAATCGATCAGGAATAAAGCACGATAAGTGTGCTTAGACTTAACAATGTGTCCTTAGATAGAGTACATAAAATTTCTTATTTTGGACAATTATTGATAGATAACTGGGATCATTCATACGAAATAAATTGTCGTATAGATAAAGCAAGGACGGCTTTTATGAAAATGAGAAGTATTTTTTGTAGTTATCAGCTAAGCATGAATCTCCGAATCAGAGCGATTCGTTGCTATGTATTTACCGTACTTTTTTCTGGAGTAGATACTTGGACTCTATCCAAAGTTTCGAACAACCGAATTCAAATGTTCAAGGTGTGAATATACCGCAGAATATTCAAAATTAGTTGGTGCGATCATATAACGAATGTCACAGTATTAGAAAATACTAAATTATTAAATTTATAACCCCGTAAATGGGGGAAACCTCCAAAAAAATTACAAATTTAAAAATGGCTAATTTTCGAATTTTTTTCAATTTTTTTTACTTAAAAGTGCCATAACTTTGAAAAAAATGAATAATATAATTATTTTTATATAGATGCATAATATCATTACCTTTCATTTGGTATATTTTTTTCATAAATTTAACCCTTAACCTGCCCACAAGGGGGGATTTAAAATGACAACTTTTTCACAAAAAATTAATTTTTTTAACTTAAATTTTGAAAATGTTCCGGAAGGTCTGACACTTTTATATATATCTTAAATTAAAGCTAATGTAATATGCTTTATCATGAAAAAAAAAAATTTCGGACTTTATCTTATCTTCATGGTGAAAATGGCTACCGAATGCTATTTTTGTGTGAAAATTTTCGATTTTGTATTTTCCATTTTTAACTTTATTATGCTATAACTTTTTGAAAAATGTATGAATCATTACAATTTTTTTATGAGAAGTAGTATTTATATAGATCTTTCATTCGACATACTGTTTTTTTAAATCGGACCATTTCCCTAAATACAGGGGGGATTCAAAACATAAAAATGCATATAGAAAGTAGAACTTTTTCAACTTAACTTTTGAAAGTGTTCCGGAAGGTCTGACACTTTTATATATATCTTAAATTAAAGCTAATGTAATATGCTTTATCATGAAAAAAAAAAATTTCGGACTTTATCTTATCTTCATTGTGAAAATGGCTACCGTAGGCTATTTTTGTGTGAAAATTTTCGATTTTGTATTTTCCATTTTTAACTTTATTATGCTATAACTTTTTGAAAAATGTATGAATCATTACAATTTTTTTATGAGAAGTAGTATTTATATAGATCTTTCATTCGNGAGAAGTAGTATTTCTGTACATCTTTCATTCGACATACTGTTTTTTCAAATCGGACCATTTCCCTTAATACAGGGGGTATTAAAAACATAAACTTTTGAAAGTGTTCCGGAAGGTCTGACACTTTTATATATATCTTAAATTAAAGCTAATGTAATATACTTTATAATAGTAAAAAAAAATTTCGGACTTTATTTTATCTTCATGGTGAAAACAGACATTAAACTTAATAAAAAAAATACGATTTTTGTAAAAAAATTCTTTTTTATATTTTTAACTTTATAATGCTATAACTTCTCGAAAGATGTATGGATCAATATAATTCTTTTTTTTGTAGATGCATGATGTCTTTACCTATCATTTGGTATATTTTTTTTATAAATCTGACTTTTTACCTGCCTACAGGGGGGGATTCAAAATGACAACTTTTTCACAAAAAATTGACTTTTTCAACTTAAATTTTGAAAGTGTTCCGGAAAGTCTGACACTTTTATATATATCTTAAATTAAAGCTAATGTAATATACTTTATCATGGAAAAAAAAAATTTCGGACTTTATTTTATCTTCAAGGTGAAAATGGCTACCAAATGCTATTATTGTGTGAAAATTCTCAATTTTATTTTTTACATTTTTAACATTATAATGCTATAACTTATTGAAAAGTGTATTGATCAATATAATTTTTTTATGGGAAATACTATTTTCTAATAATCTCTTTTTTATTCTACATACTTTGTCTNGATCAATACAATATTTTTATAAGAAATAATAGTTTTTAATAATCTCTTTTTCATTCGACATACTTTATCTTAATCAGGATATTAATAAGGAACTAGCAGATCATGTAGCTTTTGGAATAATCCACCAATTTTTTAAAATTAAACACTATCTAAAGATTTATCGAAGCGTTTATTTTTTTGATAGTGATTTTAATCACTGTCAGATATCATTATACTTGATCCAACTATGTCACGTCACCACTGTGCCGCGACCCCCCTGTGCTGGGTTTTTTTTATTAAGTTTGATGTCTATTTTCACCATGAAGATAAAATCCGAAATGCATAATAAAGTATATTACATTAGCTTTAATTTAAGATATATATAAAAGTGTCAGACCTTCCGGAACATTTTCAAAAGTTAAGTTGAAAAAGTTCTACTTCCTACATGCATTTTTATAGATTTGAACCCCCCATGTATATAGGGAAATGATCCGATTTAAAAAAACAGTATGTCAAATAAAATATGTATATAAATACTACTCCCCGTGAAAAAATTGTACTGATCCATACATTTTTCAATAAGTTATTGCATAATAAAGTTAAAAATGTAAAATACAAAATCGAAATTTTTCACACAAAAATAGCATTTGATAGCCATTTTCACCGTGAAGATAAAATAAAGTCCGAAATTTTTTTTTTGCATAATAAAGTATATTACATTAGCTTTAATTTAAGATATATATAAAAGTGTCAGACCTTCCGGAACATTTTCAAAATTTAAGTTAAAAAAATTATTTTTTTGTGAAAAAGTNAAATTTAAGTTAAAAAAATTAATTTTTTGTGAAAAAGTTGTCATTTTAAATTCCCTCTTGTGGGCAGGTTAAGGGTTAAATTTATGGAAAAAATATACCAAACAAAAGGTAATGATATTATGCATCTATATAAAAAAGATTTATATTGATATGTTCATTTTTGAAAAAGTTATGGCACTTTTAAGTAAAAAAAATTGAAAAAATTTCGAAAATTAGCGATTTTTAAATTTGTAATTTTTTTGGAGGTTTCCCCCATTTACGGGGAACAAGGAATTTTTTTCAATTTTTGAGGGTAATGTCTTCGACTAGACACGATTTGTGATCTTTTGACGTATCATTGAAAGAAATCGGTTCGGTGAGAGCTGAGAAAAAGTGGTAACAGACATAAAAAAAAAAAAAACACATCTTAGTAAAACCAATACCTTCTCAGCTTCGCATCGAAGTATTCGCATCGAAATAAGTTATCCATTATAAATTTTTAATATCTCATTTGAAAATATTTGTATATGTATATTTCTCTACTTGCCTTGTGCATATGACTATACATGCATATATATTTAATATTTGGCATATTATAATAAATTATTAGATTTGGCCTATATGTTTGTTTGTGCAAGTTTTATTGATGTGTAATTTGTAAACAGAATCTTAAATATCGTACATTTTTTGAATAATAATTTAGAATGAATATCTAAATGACTGAATTACTTAAGAATTGTCAAAAATTAATTTAAAGTGTTTATTGCGTCGTACTATAATAGTTATTGCTTTACACGCGAATTAACTTTAATATAAAAAATGGTAAGATTTTTGAAAAATACTTAAATTTTTAAAAATGAATATAAAAACTAAAATATGCCAAAAAACACAAGAATGTAAATTTTTTGCTGAATATATAATGGATAAATTAAAGAAAAATATCATATTTTTATTAAAACAAATTAGATACTGTTATTTGTTAAATTTAATCTTCATTTATTTCTTACAATAAACTAAGAATAAAATAAAGTAATGTGACTTTTTAGACTATGCTGAATCAATCAATATTTGTTATAAGTTTTTGTTTAGCTTTTCAAGGTAATATTTTAAAATAACCATTTTAATATACCATTTCATTTTCTTATTATCTTACATTAAAATTTAAATTGAGTTTTTATTTTATATAGGAACATTGAAGTACATAAATAAATCAATCTTTACCAATCCAACCAAACCAATAGATAACTTTTTTAATATACGAGTTTACACAATTTATTGAATGATATTATGTTAAAAATCTTCATTTAAATACTTTTTTTTCCTGTCAAATAATTGTAAGGACAACATTGAATAGTTGAGATAGGAGCTAATGATGATTTGAAATACTTTTTACGTAATATGAAAGTCAGATCACCCTAAAACTAATACACTAAATATATTTTATAACGTTTTAAATTTTTATAATAAATATTATTACTATTATTATAACGTCCTTAAAACTTATGCACGTGGTAGAGAAAATGCTAAAATCTACAAAAGTCCAGCACAGTGGAATCCCACCTTTGTACTTAGCAACACGACTAGAGATGTTCCCAACTGAGCTATTTACTTTCATAAATTTATTTTCATATGCTAAAGGTATTTTTTTTTTTTTTTTTTTTTTNCTTTCATAAATTTATTTTCATATGCTAAAGGTATTTTTTTTTTTTTTTTAGGCGTGACAGTTTTAAATGTGGCATCCTTATTTCGTGAAGGTAAGGATAGGATATCAACATAACCTCTTTGATCAAATAAGGGAACGGCTAGTTGTGGCTTCACTACTTCTGATGTCCTTTAGCTTGGTTTGAGCGTACTATTGAGGGTAACACAAAACAAAATAGATCAACGTTGAAATACGCGAACAAATACATAATGTTACTTATACTGTGGATTGGATTATCTTTTTTCCAATATTATTCACTGAGAGTAACCTTTTTCTGTGCTTGCATTTAATAACCAAGTTTAAAAACCATTTCTAACTAAAATTAGGAGGGTGATACGTTTAATATGTAATTAATAGACGCTTGATATGAGTATTTATTACAATAAATATGAATTTCACAAATCAAGGAGTTTTAAAAGACTTTGTGATGAATTTAAAAAAGATTTAGTGGTGAGCCAAACTATACTTAACACAATTAACGGTTGAACCGAGATATCAATGAGTTGAAAAAAAATCACTACCAAAACAGAAATAATTCAAAAAATAAAACCGAAAAATCATTTCGATTCCTAGTCATGAATTTTTTCAACATAATTCGATATAGATGTATTAATTTATTAGATATAAGAAAAATTGTCAAAAACCTTAAGTATTACGATTCCTAAAAATTGTGAAATAGCAATAAATTATTTGCCATTATTTAATATTATTATAAATAATAATAGTAATTATATAAAATATTTTGTTTTAGTTGGCGATGAAAAATGTGAAGTTTGTAACAAAACGAAACCGCTGGTATTTTTAGTCACTTGTTTACACCGATTGTGTGCCACGTGTGCTTACGATGTTTGGTTTAAAAATGAAGGTAATTGTCTGGTTCAATCATGTGGAAAACTTGTTTATAATTTCGAACATATCAGTACGTATTTTACTTGAATTTAAAATCTAAAGTTCTTTTCGTGCATAATTTTTTAATTATATAAATTATTTAATTACAGATGATAACGGGTTATGTTATACTTGTAAAGAAGAAGCATCATCAGTAGTATTATTTCCTTGTTTTCATAAAATTGGCAATTCTTGTGCTTATAAACAAGATGAACAACAATTATTGTTAAAATTTCGACAACAAACATACATTTTACCATGGAAATGTCCACAATGTTATACTATTGTAGAAGGAACTATAAAAAGAAGTATGAAAATAAATATGTTAAAATTATAATTTTTTTTTTTTTTGCAAAAACGGAACTGGCTTAAATATCTAAGGAATTAACAAAAAAAAACACAGTACAATCTTGATAAGGTATTGTTGGGGCGGAGCAATGGAATACCAGTGTAGTACTGAAATCTATCAGTGATTAATATCACTACCATAAAAAACGGTGCGATGGGAATCTGAACATTGAATTTTATTATTAATAGGGATTTATGAATTATGCCATTATACTATTGTTCTGGTTTTTGTGTAATATGGCAATTTAGAGAAAGATTGAATTATCTGTAATTGATGTAAGGGAGTGACGGGTTGTTATGAGTGTTTTTTACAAACCAAATATATGTCTATTTTGTACATACTATACTACTCAAAATAAATTTTAATGTATTGAATAAAATATTGACACGGCCACTCGCTGCTTCGTGATACACGATGCCCCGCGACTCGTGTCACCGTTATCAGCTGTCGCCTTACTATGAGTATTTGACAGACCAACACCGCGTGCCATACGCCACGGTGCAAAGTCCAGTAAGTGTCGCACGACCATTCCCGTTGTCAAAGTGATAATATCGAGGTTGTACGCTACCGGCTCCAGACGTGCCGCTTGACCGGACTCGACGAACCAATCCGCACCCAGACCCTGTCGCCATCAACGCTGCTAACTTTTTAACGCCCTAGGTTCATACCGGACACCACGTCGCCGACGCCAACCCAACCGCGATATTAATTAGTATTAACTATGTATTAATTATGATTAGTATTAACTATGTTCGTCTTTTCGGTTTGTTTGTTTTTTTTTAAATAACCTCTTGCTGAATAATAAACAGCCCACGGGTTGATAAAATTATACTAAAGAAATCATTTTGGCAAAAATTTTTTATATAGTAACGTTAAATATTTCCCTTTTCTTAGTTATCATTTTTTTAAAAATCTAACACTTAACATACTCACAGGAAGGATTCAAAATAGCAACATTTTTACAAAAATAAACTTTTTCAACTTAACTTTTGAAAATGTTCCGGAAATACTGCGTCCTTTAAAAATTTATTTTTTTTTTAAATACCTATACAAAGGTTTATCAAAGTAATGAGTCCATCAATTTTTTTATAAAATTAACATGAATCTAACTTAGATTATGTATAAATTTAAACTTGTATTGATTATTTTACCTCCTGCAAATTAAGAAAAGCGACTTTGAATTTTTTAACTAGCTAAAATAGTTCTTCTTATCTATTCATTCATTCATTCGGGGTACAGAGTTCGAACCCCGCCATTCAAACTAAGTTTTTTTTTTATTTTCTTTTATTTCTTTTTTTTTTTTGGTGATGGAAAACAAAATTCAAATACAATACTATATTATTATATATCAATTTCATACAATATTTATAATCTTTAGTAGATATTTAATAATATATTATACTTCAAAATAAAAAAACTACTAATCAGAAATAATAAAATAAAGAGGAATAAATTTTGGTTTTAGTCTAATCCATACATTTTTTACAGTTTAACACTATTAATAGATTTGCATCGAAACGTTTTTTATGACAGTGATTTTAATTACTATCAGATATCATCTATACTTGTTTGATCTATGCCACATCCACAATTTGCTGCGACCCCATTATGCTACCTTTTTATAAATTGATATTTAATTTCTCAGATAATAGTTAAAACATTTTTTAATATTAAATAATATATGGCAGTTTTAAGTATAAAAAAGTTTAGAAAAAGTCGAAATTAACCGATTTTAAAAATCGTAATTTTCTTAAGTATTTTGCCTTTTACAAGGAATAAGGGAAAATGTCATTTTTTTAAACTAGATAGAATTTGTGGAATAGCTTAATTCAAACCCATCTTGTAATTAAATTTTTGATTGGATACTTATAAAAAGTATATTAAAAGAAAATTTTATTATACATAATTAATGTATATGTTAGTTATTAACAATAATAAAAATGTAATTGAGATATGCTAATTTTTAAATGTAAACTCCTTAGACTATATAGTTTAAAAAACTCAGCACAGAGGGGTCGCGGCACAGTGGTGCCGTGGCATAGTTGATAGTATAATGATATCTGACAGTAATTAAAATCACTATCACAAAAAACGCTTCGATGCAAATCTTTAGAGAGTGTTTAGTTTTAAAAAATTGGTGGATTATTCAAAGAGCTACATGATCTGCCAGTTCCTTATTAATATCCTGATTAAGATAAAGTATGTCGAATGAAAAAGGAATATAAATATTATTTCTTATAAAAAAATTGTGTTGATCCATACACTTTTCAATAAGTTATAACATTATTAAGTTAAAAATGTAAAATACGAAATCGAGAATTTTCACACAAAAATAGCATTCGGTCGCTATTTTCACCGTGAAGAAAAATAAAATCCGAAATTTTTTTTTTTTATGATAAAGTATATTACATTAGCTTTAATTTAAGATATATATAAAAGTGTCGGACTTTCCGGAACATTTTCAAATGTCAAGTTGAAAAAGTTAATTTTTTGTGAAAAAGTTGTCATTTTAAATCCCCCCTGTAAGCAGGTAAAGGGTCAGTTTTATAAAAAAAATATACCAAATGAAAGGTAATGATATCGTGCAACTATATAAGAAAAAATTATATTGATTTGATTATTTTTAAGAAAGTTATTGCAATTTTAAGTAAAAAAAAATTAAAAATTTCGAAAATTAGCGATGTATAAATTTGTAATTTTTTTGGAGGTTTCCCTCATTTACGGAGAACGAGTGAAATTTTTTCAATTTTTCAATTTTGTGGGTAATGTCTTCGACTAGATACAATTTTTGATATTTTGACATATTATTGAAATAAATCGGTTCGGTGAGAGCTGAGAAAAAGTGGCAACAGGCACAAAAAAAAACACATCATAGTAAAACCAATATCTTCTCAGCTTTGCATCGAAGCTTAAAATAAAAAACGTTTTTTTGTAATAATTCAGTAAAATTAATAAAAATGAAAAAAATATCAATGTTAACTGTGAACATCAATCACTTTTAAATTTTGATAAAAGTTGAATTCATTAAATATCATAATACAAATAGGATTTAAAGACTGAATTGGGTCAAATAAACTGATTTATTTCTGTATCGTAAATATGTTTATTTTATAGCGTTTGATTTTATAACCAAAAATTTTAAATAATGTTTATGCTATTAAATTTATGGTAAAATTTAATTTAGATTCAATAAAACATTTTTGCAATAGCTGCACTGTCGAAATTGCTGTAAAAATCATGAAGCATTGTAAGCATTATATTTGTCAGATTTGCATAAATAAAAATAAAAATTTTAATAAGTGTCCAGTAGAATATTGTGAACAAATTCAAGATGATTCTTCAGAAAATGGTAAGAATTTACGTACTTTATTTTTTTGATTTTATCTCCACTTTAACTTTAAAAAGAAATATACAAGAACAATGGCTTTTACAAGCAAGGGGTCATCTTTTTTTTTGACACATACATATATTACTATAAGTACGTATGTTTCAAAATCTAACATATAGCATTTTAGAGGGTTAAAATACGCTATCAAAACCCACTTTGTTATTAATTATCATTGTACAAACAACATATTTTTTTATCACTTTGAAAATTTGAGCTAGATAAACAGCATTTGCGTGAAGTTTTACTTTATTATATTAAATGTGCAAATAGTTAAAGTGCATAGAAATATTGTGTGTGCTNTTTACTTTATTATATTAAATGTGCAAATAGTTAAAGTGCATAGAAATATTGTGTGTGCTTATGATTATCACGTATCCAAAAGGTACGGTTGAACGTGTACAAATGCACACAATAATGTCACCGAAAATTAATTTACGAACCAAAGGAGCAGCAGCCCATTTATTAGCAACGTCACACAATAATGAAATATAAATGTCTTTTTATAGTCATAGTTCGCTCTACCAATTTAAATAGCACCAAAAATGAATACACTTACAACATAGCACAATTGCACAATTGTAATCAGTAAAACTAGTACGTTAAATTAACAGTATAAGGAGTTGGTAAGGTCGAGGTAAGATATGTCGAAACGTCGTAAGAACAAACCAAAAGGAAGGAAACCACACAAAAGATGCGTAACCGGTCAAAGAGATCGTCGGAACGAAAACGAAAGCAATATACGTGCTTCATATTCGGCGGCGGCGGCCTTATCTCGGTGTCAAGGTCGGAGAGACATCCGATGACAACCGATTGTCATATTAATAGCTTCCGGTGCCGTGTCATGGTGATCATGCTCTAGGTATTTCAGCTTGTTAACGTTTTATAAGTGATAATTTTGATGTGAATGTCAAAAGCGTCAACCAAAAAAGTTTGAAGATGCAAATTCGCAACTATTATTGGATGAATACTCAACTTTAATTGAAAAACAAATGACAATTGAACAAAAAAAATGGGTGCCGTATCGATTGAAAGAAAGAGACATCGAAAAACGAAAAACCGTTTGCGAACTTTTGCTTGATCGGTTCAAAAGAAAATCTTTTTTACATCGAATATATATATGAGTAGAAAAAATGATACTGAGTTGCAATAACAAATTAACTATATATATGTTCATTTATTACAAACAGTATTGAGAACATATATACAATATCTCCTTTTTTTTATATACAAAATATATAAAATAAATAATATTAAAATTAAAAAAATACTGAAACATATATAGAAGGAATATATTATAAATTATCGAAATGTATAAAATAGACAAAATGATCTAAACGATTTAGAGGTTTAATTACTCTTTTCCGTACAAAAGGAGTAAAATTATTTGGTGAATCATTTTCTTAACCATCATTACCGTATGTTCTTAGGTGTTTCTATATTACTTTTCTTTCCATACCTGCTGAATCTATAGGTATATATGATCTAGGTATATGCCATTTTTTAACAATTTTACTCATTTTTTTGATCCCTATAATCTATTATTTGTTCGGGAATTACACTTTTTTCCCTGTTTTATCATAGTAACTTTTAATAGTAATCATTTTGTCAGTCCGGTAAGAATGAAAATCATCAATTTGTGGTTTTAGTTTTAAATTAAAATTGGTATATTTGTACTAAGAGGCCTANTTTGTGGTTTTAGTTTTAAATTAAAATTGGTATTTTTGTACTAAGAGGCCTAGTCATAAGCAAATTAGCTGTAAAGAACAATGAGTTAATTATTGGTTAATTTCATAGTAACATAATTTATAATTCAAACCTCACTATCAGTAGAGTTTTAATAATACTTTTGCCTATACCCACTAATTTTTTCTAGGTAGATTATTAGTTTTGAGATCTCTAAGACTAGAAGTTTATAATTGAAAGTTCTATTGAATGTTTGTAGGTCAGGAATATCCTGTGTTAACGTACGTTTTTTTTTGTGTTTTCAAGTCTATACTTCTTATATACTATCGTAACTCAAAACTAATTCAAAAAAATTAATTTTAGAAAAAAGAAAGGTGGTTGACAAAAAGTGGGAGTTACTTCTATTTAGGATGTGATTCGACGAGGGTCATAAAATAATATAAGTATTGACTCTTATTGAATTAAATCTTACCTGATTTTTCTTAGTTTTTAGAATTACTTAGGTGATTAATAAGTTAATTAATAATTGATAAATAAAATAACACAAATTCGATTTATTTCGTAAGAACTTTGACAATGACAGTTTTGATGTAACGATGTCCAGTGCGCGATTTAAACAGATCGTATTGTAAGAGTTTGATCTGTTTTTTATAATATTTTGTATCTCNGAGTTTGATCTGCTTTTTATAATATTTTGTATCCCGAAGTAAGTGTCTATTAATTGATTTGTGGTTGAATCGCTTATATTATAATATAATTTGACACGGCCCGCGTCGCTTCGTTATACACGATGCCCCGCGGCTCGTGCCACCTTTATCAGCCGTCTCCCTATTTTATGAGTATTTGACTGACCAACACCGCGTGCCATACGCCACGGTGCAAAGTCCAGCAAGTGCCGCACGGCCGACGACGACCCGCCGCAAATGGTGCGGTAGTCTTCCTCCCGTTGTCAAAGCGACAACGTCGACCAAACGATTTACACTAGCGTACCGTCGCTAACCTGTTGCCGTCCAAGAATTACGCCGGACATCGCGTCGTCGACTCCAGCGAAAGTGCCGCGATATTATGCGAAGATTTTTATTATTGTGTTTGTCTTTTCGGTTTGTTTTATTTTTTGTTAAAATAACCTGTTGTCGCTCATTTAATAAACGGCTCACGGGTCTCTACCCTCATAACCAGTGTCGACCACATTTTTGCGACGTAAGTCGTGCCAAATTTAAAACCATGCGTTTTTTTTTAAATATTTCTATAAATTATTTATTTAAATTTTTTGTTAAAAATGGCATTTGAACAAATAAAGTAATATTAAAAATTCTAATGTCATTTACTACTAAATTAAAAACTTAAACATTTTATTT